GGTTTCTACATGAAATACATTTTATATGAGTTTCCAACACTTGGTTTTCATTTTGGAGAACTTTGGTTTTTGACATCGGTTTTCGGCGTTGGCTGCCAAGCGAACCATCCCAACATGCATGTCAGAAACCCCAACAGCGATGTAGGCATTCAGAATTGCTTGGCAGTAGGTTTTTGAACAGCGATGTTCTCAAATGACCGTTGGGCTATTTAAGACAAAATCTTTCCATTTTTGAAAGTCAAACACCCCAACATCGATGTAGACTTCTAGACATCAATGTTTTGATGACCGTTAGCCATTTTTAAAGGAAAGTCAAAGACAAAACAGCGATGTTCACTATATGAACAAGAGGGACACCCGGTTTCCTACTTCAGCGAAAAGCTCAATGACACACGGAGACGCTATTCTACCTACGACAAAGAATTCTATGCGTTAGTACGGTCCCTTGAGCATTGGCGACACTATCTCGTGAGTAAGGAATTCATCATTCACTTCGACCATGATGCGTTGAAGTACATTCAAGGGCAGCACAAGCTTCGACCCCGTCATGCCAAATGGGTTGAATACATTCAAACCTTTACATTCACCATCAGGCACAAGAACGGGTCCATGAACAAAGGCGCGGATCTCACCGTAGGAAAAGAGCAATACAGTTGGGCAGCTGATCAAAGATCCAAGGAAATTCAAGAACTCCACGAAAAGGTTCGAGAGAAGATTGAAGTGGCAAATGAGAAAGTTAGTACTAGGATCAACAAAGGAAGAAAATTCACAAGTTTTCAACCCGGGGACTTGGTTTGGATTCACCTATGGAAAGAGCGTTTTCCCACTAAACGTAAGTCCAAGTTACTACCAAGAGCCGGCGGTCCATTCGAGGTTTTGGAGAAGATCAACGACAACGCCTACAAAGTCAATCTGCCTGGAGATTACGGAGTTTCTGCTACATTCAACGTTAAGGATCTCAGCCCGTATTTTGACCCTGAAGAACTTCCGAGTTTGAGGACAAACTCTTCTGAAGACGGGGAGGATGATATATCCCAGAGCACCACAAATCGGCCTCAAGTCCTTAAGGAAATCAATGGAATAATGTCCAAGTGTTATGACCCCCTCTAGAATGAAATCATCACCAAACCATGCACCCTAACCATACTTACCCTGAACCCATCACCACCTTAATAACCAATCCCAACATTTCACAATCGATTGACACTCCTCTGATAATCGATTATATTCTTTCTCAAAAAATTCCCCGAAAATTGTCCAAGAACCTGAAGCCCTCAACAATCGATTATCCACTTAGGACAATCGATTCTCTCCACCTCCCTGCAAATAAAGAGATTGTAACTGTTGGAGTTGTGCCCTGATGACCAACTGTTTATCGTTATTCTATCATGTATAGGCAGATATAATATGTTTACACATCTCATGCTGATGTAAACAAATATTATATTCCTAGATTTATATTTAAAAGATGTTTATCAGATAGTGTTTTTCTGCTGATGAGACTAACATCTTGAAATAAATATTTATCTAAATGTCCATAGTCGAGTATTAACGAGAGTGGGATATCGTTAATGCATGTGAGACTAGTGTGTGTTGGATGTTTGACTTAGTCTCATGGTCAATGACGGTGTGTTCGCATCCGCACATGGGCAGATATTATCTAGAGATAATAGGATGCCGGACTGACCCATTATAAAGATGTTGCTTGAATTTTTAGTTCATGCTCTAAGCATCTTTAGCGCGACCACGGGTGTAACTATCCTTTGACTTGAAGTATTACGTTTTCTGCATAAGTGAATCCGCATACTTTGATGCATCGTCCTAAGCCATATGAAATAAGGATGGTATACAGACTTTGTTTTGGGTATGCCGCAGCGCGTATTCAGAAACGTAGATTACGTACATAGAATTTGTCACTACTCTTTTTAAATGAGATTAATGTCTTATGGGGCCCACTGATAAGTCATGTCTTAGGAAATTGCATGGCCATGCTGAGATGTTTTTAGAGGAGTGTCAATCGATTGTTGAGGGCTTCAGGTTCCGTTCAACTTATTTTTTCTTATTCTTATTAAAATCAGATCAGATCAGATCAGAAGAGATCAGATCAAAATCAGATCCAATTAGATCAGATCAGATCCAATCAGATCAGATCAGATCAAGACTTATTAAAATAAGATCTCATCAAGAATTATTATTATTATTATTATTATTATATTATTATTAATATATTATTATTATTATTATTATTATTATTATTATTTTTATTATTATGATCATCATCATCATCATCGTCGTCGTCATCATGATTATTATTATTATTATTATTATTATTATTCTTAAAAATGAAAAAGAATAAACTTTAGAAATAGGTTAAATAAAAAGCTGAGAAAGTAATCCTTAATTATTAGACGTCGGAAAAATTAGTTTTGAAATACATTGACAATGTCAATCTAATTCTACTTTTAAAATATATTTTTATTGCTACTTGTAATTTGAGTTTCCAAACTTTTAAATGTATATCTAAATTAAATATTTATTCCAATGTATAATTATAATTTTACAAAAAAATTATCATAAAATAAAAAATATTATTACATTATAATATGAATGATTATTCTAATATATGAATTAACTATTTTTATTTTATTAAAAAGGAATCATTAAATAAAAAATATTGATTATATTATAATATGAATTATCATTACAATTTTCAAACGTTATTATAAAGTCAAATTAAATTATTGATTTGAAATTTTAAATTAAATCATGATTAATCAGATCAGACCAGATCAGATCCAATCAGATCAGATCAGATCCAATTAGATCAGATCAGATCAGATCCAATCAGATCAGATCAGATCAGATCAGATCCAATCAGATCAGATCAGACCAGATCAGATGAGAACTTATTAGAATCAGATCAGATCAGAAAAAATAAGTTGAACGGAACGGAGCCTTAATGGATACAAGCTGGATTTTATTAATCCCTTGCATTAAGTTTAGACATTGAGACAAAGGGATACAGTTACACGGAGTTTGATTCGTGGAAAGGTTTTGACGGTGCAAACGTCTTAACTTATAATCTGGGGGCAATAATGTGTTGCTAGATACCGCTTATTGCTTATAGTATTGGTGCAGAGCCAATACTGTGGCTAGCTTTATAAGTGCCTATACGGGTCACACACTTTGGACAATTGAAGAAGTGAAGGTGATTCGGCCATACTATTTTCAAGAGAGAAAATTATTAGTTTGGTTCCATTAATATCATTTTGTGTATAGAAAGTATTTATAATATTTTCTAAATATTATTAGAAATATTTTCTATTGAAATATACAAGACTATTATTATCCCAATTTTAATCTTTATATTTTATACTACTATAATCTTTACTAGCATAAAGATTGTGGTAGACTCCGGCGTTGTTCGTGTGTCAAAGTTAGAGACCGGACGCTTGAACGGTTACGTTTGCACTTTCAACGCTCTTCCTACGACCTCTTCGTTTTTACCGCTTACGGAGAAAGGTATAAATTTCTTACTCACTGTAAGTTTTAGTACGTGATTCTGGGCAAGATAATCATGTTAGGATGTTAAAAATTTTATATTCCGCTGCCTATCCTTGCATGGTTACCTTTGAGTAAAGGGTTAGTTTTCTCTCCGAGTGTCGTATCTCTCGAGGAGTGGACGAAGGGAATCAGTTTAATTACTCTAATTAGGCGAAGATTAGGATTGGTTTATAAAAGTCTTCTCGGAACGAATATAGAAGGAGCGGAGTAAAAATAATAAATAAATTTCACATAGTATAAGTATAAATCTGGACCTATGGTCTGGACATCATTTGGATCTATTTTATCATATTAAATTTACAATTGGAATAATAATATTTCTATTACTACACATCCATCTCTAGATTTGTACTTAATCTGTTGCACTTGAATATCATAGCCATTTGGCATATAATATTTTCTCAATAAATGGCCAATTAAATCTTACGAGTTTAATTAACCAAATAAGGTAAGAACAATAGATTAATCATTCCAACATTAATTTAATTGCAAAAATAAACAACCAAACTAGTCCGGACCCAAAGATCCGGACCCTAACTCATACTATGCAAACACAAATTAAAACAACATTTTATTAAATAAAAGAAACTTACAACTTCCGTACAAGCGGATTTGAACAGATCGGGAGTAGAATTTCTCCAAAAATAATTCTAAAACGACTATAATGATAAACTAGAACTTGGAGCTAAAGTATAAAGTGCTAATCCCGAGAATGGGACTGAAAGTGATGAACAAATGCTAATTTGTGAAGGGATGATGCTTGGTAGTTTCCTAGTTTGTTTTTACTTTCATTTGTAATGTTTACTCCCTTTCCATCATTGTATATAATTCGGCCCTTAGGCCTTTGTAACAGAGCTGATTATTGAGTGATAAACTTTGTTACTCTTTTGAGTATTCTCTTAAAATAGTGTGATTCTATTTTAACCAAACTTCCTAATGAAATATCTCTAAAGTTGGCTACTTTTGAGTGTGTGTTAGGAGTCTATTTTATACATTAGTAGTAATTATTATTGTGTGAAATAGATAACATGTAACGCCCCAAAACATGGTCTAAAAGTTATTCTATTATAAAAGTATATTTTGACTCAACAAAGCATTATTTCTATGTTTGACCAAAAATGAAGGAATTTTTGGAGTCAATGATTTTTGTTAAGATTGACTTCTATGGATAGGTCTCGAAGAGACAAATCCAACGGTATATTTTATTTGATGTGAGCAATGCCAAGTTTAGATTTCCTACCCTTCACAAAGGAGTGGAAGAGCTTGGTGTTGCTATCACCCTTTTCTAACCACTTAAGGTTTGCTTTTTGTTTCCAAAACTCCATTTCCTTGTTGGTGGCTAAAACAAGTTTGGCCTTCGATTGTGCCCAAGTTTCCCTGGTTTGAGAGGAAGGGTTTGAGTCATAGGCCAATTCAGAATTGAGTGCTTCCTCTTCTGCAGTTTTAAGGTTTTTGAAAATGTCACCAAAGGTTTTAGAATTCTAGTCTCTGAGTACTGTTTTCAAACCTTTTAATTTATTGGCAAGCCCCCTCATACCACCACAGGTAGGAGCCTTACGCCAGTAACCATCAAAAGCAGGGAGGAAAGAGGGATGAGAGAGCCAAACGTGCAGGAATCTGAATGCTTTAGGTCCTGAGTTTCCTACTAATGTACATTCAAGCAAGAAAGGGTTGTGATCAGAACCAGCCCGACTAAGATGGTGACATTTGATTTCTTCAAAGAAAGAACTAAGGGTGAGGTTTACCAAAATCCTGTCCAATCTCCTCCACACCTTACCACACCCTCTATTGCCACTCCAAGTGAACCACCCTTTGATAGGTTCTAAAGAAAGTAGTTCCAAGTTGTGGATGCACTCCTGAAAGTCCTCCATGCTAGGAATGGAGGGAGAGGAAGCCCCTTTATGTTCGTCAAGTGAGAGAATGGAATTAAAGTCCCCCCTACAATCCACAAATCTTCTCCCGGTCTGTGCTGTCCTAGCCAGTTCCAAAGGAGCTGCCTTTCCAGCCTTGTGTGAAAGCCGTAAACAGAGGAGATGAAGACGACTTTGTTAAGTTGTGTGTGCACGTTATAAGTTGGTCTTCCTCAAAGCAGGCAAGAAGGGAGAGAGAGCTTTCCTTCCAGAAAATCCAGATTTTGTTAGAGGGATTACAAAGGGAGTGAGAGAAGCCAAGAGACATCGTGTAGAAATGAAGTTTAGACCTGGCAACAATAGGCTCAAAGAAAGCTAAAAAGGGGAGAGAATGAGACTTAACAAGGGATTTGATCCTGTTTAGAGAGGAAGAAATCCCACAAGCATTCCAAAAAAGAACATTCATTGATCAACCATAAGAGGGACGCCTTTGCCATTTCTATGGCTTCGAGTCACAACATTACTAGGGGGGTAAACCTTCTTCTTCCTTGTACCCTGTAGGCAGTTACATTGTTGAGCCTTTTCCCTTTAAGAGAGAGAGGTAGAGGTTCAAGCACCCCTTTAAGAAAGGGCTGATATTCTCCTTCAGAGTGGCAATGGATAGGGGGCAAGATATCCTTGTCAGTAGCAGGGTAAAGGTCGTAGAGTCCAAGGGCAGTGAGGATAGTGAAAGTGGGATCTACCTGAATAGAATGGGTCATAGAATCATCCAAGCTTAGGAGGGGGGTAGAGGGGATAAGTGGTAGCTCCTGGGTTAAAATGACATCAGTACCCGTTGTAGAGGTAGGGTCCTGCCTAGAATGAGGATCTTCTACATCAGTAACCTCCAAAATAATATGGTCATCCCCTTGAAGGTCAAAACAACCTGGAGGTGGGACGGTCTGCTTAAGAAAAGTGGGGAGCGTACTGGCGTTGGATGTTTCTACATGGAGCATTGTGGGAAGGGTGGTGGATGTATACTGGCCCTTTTGTCTCCAAACATGGGTGGCCCCATGAGTTGTCCCTTTCTTCTTGGATCGTCTGTTTCTCTGCACAATGGTCCAACCACCATCTGCACCTCCGGTGGCTGCCACCTTTCCTTTACCACCGGTGTGGACTTCTCCGGCGGTTTTTTTGAGACAAGATGCACTTGCATGCCCCAGGACACTGCACGCACTACAGAAAGAAAGAGGCCTTTCGAAGATGCAGGGGAAGGAAAGGTCAGAGTCCCCCTGCCTGATGTGGATGAAAGGGGGAAGGGGAAGAGAGGCGTCAACCTCCACACAAATCCTGGCCCTGTCTAGCCTTTGTCCCAGTGCTGTGGAGTCATCCATTTTAAGTGGTCTTCCCAAAGCCGAGGCAATGGTGAAAAGAGCTGGAGGTTGAAGAAGATGGAGGGGGAGATGTTTGATGTTAACCTAGACCAGAACAATGGGGCAATCTTTGTTGGGGGCATAATCCACCGACCATTTGAAAACATGCAGACTGGAGGTACCAAACTCCCATTTCCTTCTCGAAAAGAATCTTAAGTATTCAAGTTCGGATTTTAAAGAGAAAAGGGTGTCAAACTGGAGATAGCCTGTACACTGATGTACTTGAAGCCAAGGGAGAGAAGGGTTTTCCTGATGAACTGTGTGGGGATAGACGTACTGCTTCTGCCAACGAGCACAAGATTAAGGTCATTGGAGAGCTTCCTGATTTCATCCATGGAGAAGATGACCGAGGGTACTCCTCTGTGAAGACCTGCCACCTTGCCAATGGCCACTTGTTCGTCATTGAAAAGCTCTGAGAAGAGTTTCCTACGCTCCTGCTGTATTGGTAGACTAACCGGGGAGGATGATGGAAAGTTTTCCGGAAAACCCTTCTCTCTCCTCTCTCTAAAACCCATTCATATCATACAAACATATATACAAACATGTATAATGAATAAAATGTGACATGGTTGTGGCCTCCTAAAGAACTAACAATAAAGCCTTCACTTGAGATCTCCATCTCTAGCTTCACCTTCTTTCTTTAAGAAGGCTTTAATCTTCAAGTTCAGCCCTTGGCTGCTACATCTTCCTTGCTTCTTCATGGACTTCTTTATTTAATCGAGAGAAAAGAATCCTTGCTTTTTAAGCAAGGGGTATAAGGTTTAAGAAGAGATTTATAACCAAAATTTAGAGATGAGGCATGAGGCCATATTTAAAAACCAAACATTCTAAGCCACAACCATGCACCATGCATACATTCATACATCACATGCATAAAAACCATACACCGGGCAAGCCGCGCTCGCCCCAGACCTAGTTTATTCTAAGAAAAATAAATTACAAGCCTAAACATTATCAAATAATTTTATTTAACTTTATTTTAAAACTCCAGAATATCCAAAATTTAAGTTTGAATTTTCCTGAATTTTTAAAATAGTAAATTGCCGTAAATATATGTATTAATTTCGAAATTGGGATTTTAATTCGAAATAAATACTTATACCTTTTTAAAATTAATAAATATATTCCAGAATGTGTATTCTGACTTTATAAGTCTGAAAATAAAATTTCCAGAATTTATAAAATTTATTTTCGAAATTCTATATTTAAATACCCAAAATTGGACTTCAATTTTCCAAAAATTAATTACGAGTTTAAAAAATTTATATTTTCCAAAAATGTTTACTTTGGGTCAGTTTTGTTCTGGTAATCAAATTTCCAGAATTAAATAAATTTTACTTTCGGTATTTTGGAATTGGTTTCCAAAAGGACTTAAATTAATTTCCAAAATTAATTTAGAATATTCAAAATATTCCAAAAATAAATATTTTCCAAAAAATAAAGTTTTTGACTCATGTAAAATATTAAAACAAAACTTTCCAGAATTTACTTAAATTTATTTTTGGTACTTTCTATTTATTATTTGGTAATCCATAAAACAATTTCTAAAATTGTTTTCATATACCATAATTGTTCCAAAAATCCGAATTCTAAGAATATTATTATAGTATTACCAAATAATAAATTTCCATAATTTAAAATTAATTATTATAATTTTCGGGAATTAAATACCGAATTACCAAAATGGTTTTTCCCAAAAATTAATAATTAAATTCTTAGACTACGAATTTAATTCTAAAAACTTTTATGAACTCTGAAAATCATATTCTCAAGTTCATAAAATTATAATCCCGAATTGTAATTGTCCTTTGCGGTTTAATCTATATTATTACGAATAAGATTATTTAAATCGAGAAAAATATAAAATCCAAACCGAAAATTTATTTCAATTTTCCAGAGTACTTAAAATCATATTTTAACATTTCAGAAGTATTAAAATTATTTTTCATAATTTATTTTGTATTTATCTTGTAATTAATCAAATTAACTACAAATCAACTAATACCTTACAAGTTAGAAAATAAATTCCAAAAATTAATTTTAAATATCCAGAGCTCTTAAAATCATATTTTAAATTCTCATAATGATTAAAATTATTTTTCCATAATTTATTTTGTATTTAGCTTGTAATTAGTCAAATTAACTCCAAATCAAACAATACTTTATAATTAGGAAATCAAATCTGAAAATTAATTTTAAATATCCAGAGGTCATTAAATCATATTTGAAATTTTCGTATTTAATAAAATTTAATTTTATAATATTCAAAATATTTTAAGTGCTTAAAACAGTTTTTAACCGATTAACCCGAAAATACAAATAAATCCCAAATTAAATTCAAAAATCATATTTTTGAATTTTATAATGTCCTGAATCATATTTTGTTACTTTCCTGAATTTTGGACAATTTTCGAAAAAATATAAACATATATTTTATTTTATTAATTATCAAAAACCCTAACGGCAATTAGATCTACAAAACTTATAATTCTAATAAGTCCGCTCTGATACCACTCTTGGGTTTTACGCTTGGATAGGGCAGCGGAAATATAAAAATTTTAGATCCAAACGTAGATCCACCCATGACCTCTTATTATTATTATTATAAGTGATTGTTTAGAAATATACCTTTCTTGGCGAGTAAGCAACGATATGTGTAGGTTGATGGATTGATCCAAGAGCTAGCTACAAACGTATATGACCTCTAGTTGAGACACACGAACAACGAAGAGTGTTCTAGAGAAAATCATGCTAGTAATTTTTCTCTAAAATATTTCTAAAATATAAAATATTTGGTGTAAAGTATTAAAAGAACAAAAAAAAAAATTTCTCTCTTAAACTATGGTATGACCAAAATTCTAGTAGTCTAAAAGGGGTGGGATGATCTCCATTTCTATTCTTAATAGGAATGTGCCTTTTAGAGTTTAGGAAGGAAATCAAATCCCATTCCCATTCTACTTAAGAAATTCAAATAGCACTTTAAGAAAGCTTCCAATTTATTTTGTCAACTTTAATTATCATATATATATATATATATATATATATGGGATTGACTCCAGTCAGATGACATCTTTCGGTCAAATGACACTTTCGGTCAGATGACATGCTTCAGAATGAGCACCACCTTGTTTGAGAATGAGCACCGCCTTATTTCAGAATGAACACTACACTGAGTAGACTGTGAATGAGTACTAGGTTGTTTCAGAATGAGTACTACATTTATAATGAAGAAATGTGTGAAAGTCAACCCTACGATGTCTTAGAATGAACACTACGTGGATTCAAAATGAACCTTATTTTGTCGTCTCGCTAGCTATGAATGAACACTACATTGTGATGAATAGTTGTGTGAGAATGAATACTACGTTGTTTAAGAATGAGCGCTACATTGATTCAGAATGAGCATTCGTTGTCATCTGACTGGAGTCAATCCCTATATATATATATATATATATATATATATATATATATATATATATGTATGTATATATATATATATATATATACAAATATATATATACTTTATTATTATTAAATACATTTGACAAACTTAATTATCACATAATTCAAATGTCCAAATATAAATATATATTTATATATGTGTTTGTGTATCTAATCATATTGTCACACAATATAATATACACAATACATAAATAAAGTGCAACTTTACTCCACTTAAATATTCCACACTTTCATATGTTCTATGTGTGTGACCCTATTCTAGGCATTTATAAAATTGGCCAAAGTATCAATTAAATACTACAAGTGATAAGCGGTATCTAGCAACACATAATCACCCCCAAATTTTAGATTAAAGCTCTTGGAACAATTCCTTCAACGATACATCCTATTTGTATAACCCTTATCCTTTTATCACTAATATCTTGATTTAACACAAGGTATGGGGTGTGTTACCTTGTTAAAGTTAAATCGATGGTTTACTGATTCTTCGATTGACTTTTGGGATTCAAATAACATATTTATTTGGGCATGGCCATGCACTTCCCAAGTCACATCACTTAGTGGGCCCTAAGATATTATACTTCATCAAAGAAGGGATAAATTCTATATACGCCATTCACATCTTCGCTTAATTTCCATTGCATACCCAAAACATAACTGTAGATCCACCAATATTTCAGATGGCATAAATCATGCCTCAAAGTATACAACTCAACTTATCAAAGAATGTAATGACTTCAAGTCAAAGGATAGTTATACTAATGGTCGCATGAGAATAATATTAACACTTTAACTCAAACCCATATATTATTCTCATAGCGGGCCAATCCAGCAACATATCCAATATGGTTGCCAATGTATAGATTCAAATAACACTTTATCTATAGCCTATGAGACGCAGCTATCTCATCCCATACGTATTAGTCTTGATATATTATGATGTCTGTAATGTCATAATATTCGACTAAGGATATTTTAGACGTAGCCTCTATCTTTGTAACAGCCTCATAATTAGAACGTCGTAGTTCTCATCTATGCTACTAGAGCGCCTACTTTATGGACTAAAGCTATGTTTAAATTACACGAGACGACTTAAACAATCTTTAGGGCCTAGTGTTCTTGATATAATATATATATATGGAATGATATGTTGGCATCTAGGGATCACTTATATTCAACAAGCTTCCCAATGTCAATTCCAGAATTGGGAAGATGGAGCTTCTTCTTCAATTTCTTCTATGAAATCTTCAGCTTGGTGCCTCCAACAGTGGACTCAATTACTTGGATTGTCCTCTGTGGATTCTTCTTGGATTGAATAGTTGTGACTTTCCATTCTTGTAAAATTCAAGAACTTCATTTTCATACTTTAAGCAAATCTCAATATGAAGAAATTCGGAGTGTTCTTATGCTGCAATCATCTCGAAATATGTCTAATAGAAAGCCGGTGAAGAGCATTTGGCTTCCAACTTCTGGAAATGAACATTTACGCCAACAACCTTCATTTTCTTTGAATTTGGGAGAAAAATTTGAAGAATTTAGGATTCTTCTAAGATTTTTCACGAGGAAGACGATGAAGATTTGAGTGGGCTGAGTGGGCAGTTGAGATCTGAATATAGTGGCAATTGGGTTTAATTTTGGGCGATTTAATTATGCGGCTGGTGGCGATTGGGTTTTCAACTGTTCCCAAGGCCACGTGCCTACCCATTACTTTATCAGAAGTGGTAAGTGGGCTGCCACGTGTACCGCACTCAGTCTAATTGAATTAGACCAATTTTGTTAAGCAAATCATAAAACTTGGCTTCATTTAGTGGTTTTGTGAAGATATCCGCCAGTTGTTCTTCAGTTGAGATGTACTCATTTATGATATCCTTCTTTTCCACATGATCTCTGATGAAGTGATGCTTGACATCAATGTGCTTAGTGCAAGAATGATGCACTGGATTTTGTGAGATGGCTATAGCACTCTGATTGTCACAAAATATTATCACTTCCTTTGTTTTGACTCCATAATCTAGTAGTTGCTGCTTTAACCACAAGATTTGAGCACAACAACTACAAGCAGCAATGTACTCTGCTTCTGTTTTAGATGTAGAGATGGAGTTCTCTTTCTTAATAAACTAAGAAACAAGATTTCTGCCAATAAATTGACAAGTACCAGATGTACTCTTCCGATAAACTTTGCATCCGGCAAAGTCAGAATCTGAGTATCCCACTAGCTCAAATGAGCTGCTCTTAGCATACCCTAAACCCATATTCTGAGTTCCTTTGAGGTATCTAAGAATCCTTTTGGCTACAATTAAATGACTTTCCTTAGGCTTTGATTGAAATCTAGCACAAACATCTACTGCATATGAGATATCTGGACGGCTTGCAATAAGGTAGAGAAGTGATCCAACTATTCCTCTATAGAGAGTTTGATCAACATCCTTTCCATCTACATCCATGTCAAGCTTGGTGGATGTACTCATGGGGACAGAAACGGATGACTTCTGATCAACTTTGAACTTTTTGATAAGATCCCTTGTGTACTTGGCTTGATTGATGAGAGTTCCTTCACTTCTCTGCTTGATTTGAAGACCAAGGAAGTAGTTGAGTTCCCCCATCATACTCATCTCAAATTTGCCTTGCATGAGGGTGGAGAACTTGGTGCAAAGAGCTTCCTTAGTTGAGTCAAATATGATATCGTCCATATAGATTTGGACCAATAAGAGATCTTCTCCATCTTGTAGTTTGAACAAGGTCTTGTCAATGACTCCTTTGATGAATCCATTGTCTATTAGGAATTGAGGCAACGTATCATACCAAGATCTTGGTGCTTGTTTGGGTCCATATAGCGCCTTTTTGAGTCTATACACTTGATCGCCTTTAGTGTGTAACTCAAATCATGGAGGTTGTTCCACATAAACTTCCGGAAGACCCACTTTGTCCCAATGACATATTGATGAGTAGGTCTGGGAACAAGTTTCCAGAGGTCATTTCTGGTGAATTGGTTGAGTTCTTCTTGCATTGCATTGATCCAATCAGAATCAGCTAGAGCTTCTTTATTGCTCTTTGGTTCTACTTGCGAGATGAAACAAGCAAGCATGGCTTCTAGATTCTGTTGAGCACTCCTTCTGCGAACACCTGATTGAATATCTCCAATAACTTGTTGAGGAGGATGATCCCTTAACCAACGAAGATTGTGTTGATTAGGGTTGACTAGTTGATCTAGCTCAGCTTCTGGTTAAAGAACAGAGTTTGTTGGTGTTTCCGGATGAATTGGAACTTGATCACCATTTTCGGAGTTGTCACCATTTGAGTGATCTGGGATTTTGGAAGGCTGGCCATGATTTCCGGTAGGCTCAGCACAATCTGAATCCCGATTTCTCTGTGAAGTCATCAAAGGTAGACTTCCGAATGGAATGAACTCTGTAGGCTTCATTCTATCTTCTTCGTTGACTTCTTCATCCTTGTCTGATAGATCCAGGACCTCATGATCATGCTTTGATGGTTTGTCAACCACATGTTTTTCATCGAAAATAACATGTATAGACTCTTCAGTGATCATGGTTCTTTTGTTGAAGAATCTGATTTCTCATCAAAGAATATCCAGAGAATATCCAAGGAAGATGGCTTCATCTGATTTCTCATCAAAAGTGTTCATATGATTCTTCCCATTGTTTAACACAAAACACTTGCTCCCAAAAGTATGGAAATATGATATATTAGGCTTTCTCAAATTCCACAGTTCATAGGGAGTTTTGTTGTGCCTTTTATAGATCATACTTCTATTTTGAGTATAGCAAGCAGTGTTTACAGCTTCATCCCAGAACCTCTTTGGCAAGAAAGCTTCTGCCAACATGGTTCTTACAGCTTCCTTCAAGGTTCTGTTCCTTCTTTCAACTACACCATTCTATTGTGGTGTCCTTGCTACGGATGTCTGATGAAGAATTCCGTTTTCTTCACAATAATGACTGATGATTTCATTCAGGAATTCTGTGCCTTTGTCAGATCTTCTCTTCTATGCCTTTGTCTGACTTGCTTGATTCTGAATCAGCTTCATGCAGTTTGTGAGTTTCCCTTGAGTTTCCTTCTTGCTGTTGAGGAAGATTGTCCACGTGTATCTTGAATAGTCATCAACTACTACTAAGACATATTTCATTCCACTCAGACTTATTGGTGAAACAGGTCCAAATAAGTCCATGTGGATAAGACTTATGGGCTGTTTGTTTCAGCCTCTTAATGGTTCAGATGTCTGAATGATTCAGCACTTAATGGTTCAGACTGTTTGTTTCAGCCTCTTAATGGTTCAGATGTCTGAATGGTTAAGTATTATACAGAGTCTGAATGGTTAAGAGCTCTTATCTGAATTGATCAGACATTTGCCTCTGAATAGTTAAGCAATATACTAGCTCTTAATGGTTCAGACCTCTTACTGGTTCAGCATTTAATGATTCAGACCTCTTACTAGTTCAGCACTTACCCATTCAGAAGTTGCCAAACAGCCCCTTAGTATCCTTGTAGTTGAGTGTGCCGGTTTTGCCTTAAAAGTGGATTTGACTTGCTTTCCTTTCTGACAAGCATCACAAATGCTTTCCTTCTTGTACAGAGCTTTGGGAAGACCTTCTACTAATCCTTCTTTGGACAGCTTGTTGAGGGTTTTGAAGTTGAGATAACTCAACCTCTTATGCCAAAGCCATTAAAGGTTAGTGTCGTCTTTGCTGATTAGACATGCTTACTTGACATCATCCCATATCACTTTGTAGATGTTTCTGATTCTCTTCCCAGGGAGAATGACTTCATTTGTGGAGATGTTCTTGAGGGATGCCATGTCCTTGTAGAATTCCATAGAATAACCTTTTTCACAAAATTGACTTATGCTAAGAAGGTTATAGTTGAGACCTTCCACATAAGATACAGCCTGGATGGTTAGTCCCTTATACACCAGATTTCTTAGCCCTTTTGTAAGGCCAAAATCATTGCTTCTTCTAAAAGTAACTCTTGGACCATCATAGGGAATTAGATTGCTCAAAAGGCTCGCATCACCCGTCATGTGTCTTGAGCAGCCACTGTCTAAGTACCAGACACCTGGGTGCTTAGCGGCTTCCTGCATTAGGAGGAGGAAGATTTTGGTACCCAATTCAGTTTGGGTCCGGAATAGTTAATGGTGTATGTCCCTACATCATGTTTGAAGTTGCAGGGAATTTTCCTTGCAACTCTAAACTTGTTGGGACTATAGTCATAGTTGTAGGCATAGAACTTCCTACGTGCAGGCTGTTTCCTATTTCCTCCTAGCAAACCTAGGTTGGCAAGACCTATAGTTTTGTCTAGGTTGTGCATAATGTGACCTGTGACGGTTGTAAGCATACTTAGGTGGAACAAATAGTTTCTAGGGTGGAGGATGATTATATCTAGGCATAGTTCTCCACTCAGAATTTCTTGGAAAACTCCTATCTACCCCATAATGAGTATAGCCTCGTGTATAGTGGGGGTTAGAAGGTTTTCTTCTGAAATTGTTTACTTTTTGAGGTGTGTCCAGCTTCCTATAGTTCTTAGGAGGGACTAGCTTTTTGGGAACTTCTGTAGGTTTTTCCTTCTCCTTACCTTTCTGCTTATTAGATTTGGCAGTAGGTTTGGGAGGAATAAAAGTTGTTCTCCCTTTCTTTTTGGAACTGGAAGGATCAAACCCAAGTCCTTCACGACCCTTATGTTTGGTCGTTTCAAGAAGCTTATCCACTGCTTCTTTGGACTTCAGTATTCCTAGCTCCTTCTTGAGGGATTTCACCTTTTCAGAAAGAGATTCATTCCCAGCCTTAATTTGAGTGATCTCACTTAGTTGACTTTTCTGACCTTCAGTCAACTTGAGATTCTCTTCACTCAATAGTTTGTTCTCTTCTGATAAGGATGAGTGTTTAAGATTTATTTCCTCAAAATCTTCCATCATCTTTTTGAACTTCTCAAAAAGATTTTTAAAAGTTGGTATGCTTTCATAATAAGATGAACAGGTGGTTTGTGAAGTTACCTCTTGATCAGCATCATTTTTGGCCATTAGGCAGAGAGTGTCATCTTCAGACATGGTCCACCGATCCTCATGGTTGGACTTCTCAGCTCTCCGCTCCATGCAGACGAGGGTTTTTTCATCCGAGCTTGAGCTGGATGACTCGTCACTCTCAGCTGCCACCATTGCCTTCTTCTTCTTCTCGTTCCTTTCTCTTTCTCCATACTTCTCCACCTTTGGGTACGGACATGCTGACTTCCAGTGGCCAGGTTTCCTGCAGTTATAACACAAATAAGATTCAGGAGGAGAGTCGCTTACCTGTGGTTTCATCTTGGATGGCCTTTTGAGTCTGCTTTCTTGAAGAACTTCTTGAACTTCCGGAATTGCTTGACCATCATGGCAAATTCCTCATCGTAGTTCTCCGTTTTTGAGCTTGGTGGCTGGATGGATAAAGGGGTGTCACAGTTCCTTGGAAATGTCCCTTCGCTTGCTGGTACTCCGGGAGTTGTCATTAGTGCCCTGGGAAAAGGAGTGACTTGTTCTTCCTTCTTCTTTTTCAGCTCATGCTCATAGGTTCTGAGCTCATCTAGGAGACCTTGGACAATTTAGTTCTCCAAATTTCTTCCTTCTTCCATGGCTGTGGCTTTGGTGTACCACTCAGCTCGAAGAGACCTCAGTAACCTTACATTCTTTTCTTTGGGAGGAAGAACGTGGTTAAGTGATGCAAGATCACTTAAGATTTTGTGGAATCTTTCATCCAGCAGGTCAAAAGATACTCTGAAAAGCAATTTGAAGCTTGTGAACTTTTCGAGCAGGACCTCTATCTTCTGCTATCTGAGGTCCTCTGATCCCTCTCATAGCTTCCCAAGACCTTGCCATATCTCCATGGTAGTCTTGAGATGCTCGATCTTGGAAAAGGTGATGGGATCAAGTGTCTTGAAGATGACTGCGTTGGCGATGTTATCCAGATTGTGCTTTTTGCAATCTCTATCATCCCATTTCTCCATGGGCTTTGGTATATACTGGAATACATTTGAATTGGTTGGATCCTCTCTGGATTCTCCATTTGGATTTTTAAGGGTCCATCTTCAAGCACCATCCACATGCAATCATGTAGGGCATAGAGGTGTGGTTACATCATGATCTTCCAATCATCATAACCTAGAAGAGAGAACTTGGGCAAACCGTGATCCATATTGTTCACCATTATGGTCGCTTCTCTATAATCTAAATGTAGATAATGAGAAGTCTAGCTCTGATACCAATTGGTGGTCCAAAAGTGGTGAGATACAAAGTCTAGAGGGGGGAGGGGGTGAATAGACTTTGTTACAAATTTAAAAACTTTTTCGTTTCTTTTGAAAATGTGAAAATGAGTGTTAATCTAGAGTTCTTGTGAACCTTAGATAGTGTGAGGAATTTGGTGGATTATTAGAGCAGTAATCAATATGGATGGGTTAGTCTCACAGTTAATATAATTGCAAGTATGAGTAAAGATAAAAGAGAGATACACGTAAACTTTAACGAGGTTCGTGTTAGAAAAAAGGCCCAACGCTAGAGGGGGGGTGAATAGCGTTTAAAACAAAATCGCAGGAAATTAAAAACGAGAGCAATAAAGTAAAGAGCGTATTGAAGGAGCACACCGAATTTTATCCTGGTTCACCACAACGTGTGGCTAATCCAGCCTCCCGAGAGACTCTCTCGAGCTACACTAACTCCGTTAAGCTTAAGGGTGCTTTACAAACCGATACAACTTGAGAACTCGAGTCACACGAGCCTCAACGCCTTTGCTCGGAGATATCGCACTCCAAGACTTCTCACGAAGGAACAGAGAACTTCCTTCAAGTTTACAACAAGGGAACAACCTCCCTAAAAGTGTATGAAAACACTTAAACACTCACGAATAAAACTCTCACAAAGAGTAGATATGAGTGAACTAGTATACGCTCAAGAATACGACAATTTCTTCAAGAATTGGCTCTCAAATAGCTTAGAAAAATATGAATGCTTATGCAATGAAAGAGTATTGAAATGTTGAAGAATTATGTGTAAAATGATAGGATTTGGGTTCTATTTTATAGCCCAAAATGGGATAAAACCGTTGCTAGAATTTCCAACAGGATGAAGACAAATTTTTCAGAGTTGCATGGTGATAATCGATTGTTGACGAAGCTAGATTATAGCGGTAAGTCAACAAATAACCGAGTTAGACTCGGGTCGTTGTCTCCAGGAATGACGAAGGGAATAGTTAGTTTTATTATTTATCACAGGTAAATTTATAGTTTAAGATACGTGAAATAATATGAAATAAAGCGTCTAAAATAAATGATAAAATAACTTGAGGAGTTAAGATCGGAATGCAGACTTAACACAATTTAACTCATCTTTTATTAACAATTGGACTAATGAAATTTGTAGCACTTATATTTAATATATCTCCTATTTCTAGGTCTCAATATTAAATATAAGACTATTATATTTCCAGTACATCTCCAATTTTTCAGGTCTCAGTACTGTGCTAGAAAATGTTTGGCTTAAATAATTCTAAATCCTCATAGACAAGGCAAGAACTATATTCCAATTACTTAATTAATAGAATGTTTAACATTATTAATTAGTTTAAACCATTCCAAACGGTTATTTCTAACACTGCCTATTTCTAGGTGTTCGGAACGCGTGGCTTAACTAATCTTTTTACTTCATAGACAAAGTAAAAGATTAATTTCCAAGGATTAATTAATAATAAAAACAATTTTATTAATTAATAAAGATTATTTCATTTTCTAACAATTTATCCAATTACTAATAAATAGATGAAATTAAATTGATCAAATCTTAATTCCGAATCTTAACCCATTTTAAATTACCAATTCATAATATCAAACAAAACATTCATCATCATTAAAATCTTCAAAAACATATCAATCATCAACAAAGTAAAATTTTATTGATAAAAAGTTCAATAAAGATTACAATGAAAAGTAGAGTAAAACCTACAGTGCTTCAAAGACTTGAGAATTAACTTAAAATGATGTAATTTATCCCACACAATTTTAATACAATATTAAAAATCAAAAGGGAGTATTTTCACCCCTAAAAAGGGGAAAATCGCAGTTGGAGAAGGCTTGGGGATGGTGAGCATCGGCGCTGCACTTTATAGAGGGAGATCTCCGACCAGCGAGCAGACTGGCGGCCGCCAGCCAGCGCGCCGGCGCCGCTGGAACCATCTGGAAGCCGCTAGACGCCGTCGACAGGCGGGCAGACAGGTGGCCGCCTGTCAGCCCGCCAGCGCTCCCCTTCGCCGCCTGGTCTGCTTCTCGCCGTCGCCGCCTTCTGACAGGCGGCCAGGCAGGCTGCTGCCGGCCAGGTCGCCTGTCAGGCCGCCAAATTCTGCCGATGCTACCTTGCTCAAAATTTCGTTCGGAACATTTTTTCCCTCTGCACCGACTTCTAATTCCGCACCGTTTGTGAGATAGAATTGTTTTTCTATTAAAATTTACTCTTTTTACTCTATTCTTGGCCCAATTTTATATATTATTTTAAAGACATTCTTTTTATGATCAATTCATCAAAACATATGTTTTTGATAAAAAAAAGAATAAATAATTTATTGTTTTGATAATAAAAATGGTACAAGAACAAATTAAATATGATTAAAAAGATAAGTACAAAACGGACTTATCAATTGTCTATACATGATAATCGATGATTAAAAGATTCCCTATCCAAAAGTTTAAAAAACTATCCGTTGGAGGACAACGGTAACCCAGATAGTCGATTGTCAACTAGTGATAATCGATTATTGGTCCTCTTAGAAGTTTCTGGGTTTTGGCTGCATAGGCTGATAATCGATTATTGTATAAGTGATAATCGATTATTTCTTGCTTCAGAACTTTGAAGTTCAAAGCTGCAGAGCTTGAAAATCGATTGTCACTAAGGTGATAATCGATTTTCACCCAGCCAAAACTTAGCCAGCGAAAACCCGTTTTGAAAAACCGAGGTTGAAAAACGAAGTGTACCCAAAAGTAAAAACCAGGTTTGAAAAACATTGTATATGGTATAAAATAGTGAAAACAAGACTTGTTTGGTAAAAAACCAAGTCTCCAAGGTCGTACATCATGTGCGTACGGTTTTGACCGTTTTTCATGTGTTAGACCGATTGACCAAGATACAAAAGTGGTTTTTATAAAATAATTATTTGGGAACCTTTTAAAAATGCTAAGAGGTAAAAAGAAGGTTTAAAATATTGAAAACCACGGAGCTGGTTTGGGAGCCAAAAACCGAACGCCGAACACAGAACGCCGAACGCCGAACACTGAACACCGAACGCCGAACGCCGACCACTGAACACCAAACACCGAACGCCGACCACTGAACACCGAACGCCGAACGCCGAATGCTGACCTAGGTGGTTTAGGTTATGAGCAAGGACCAGGAATTTTAACAAAAAAACGATTTATCAAAAATGTTTATTTTAATGCACAAAAATATTTTATGATTTGTAAAAATTGTTTTGATTCTTTGAGAACCGAGACTTGAATTTATTGTCGGTTTTGATCACAAAAGACCGACTCGACTAAGTCTTCAATTCTTGATCTTGTCCTTGAGTCTTTTTGGTCTTGTTTCATGCCATTCTTCACGCCTTGAGTTGTTCAACGAAGCTCTTCATATCCATGGCGGTTTGGCAATTATCAAAACCTTTCAGAAATGAACACGACTTTAGTTTAACGTACAAAGTGTGTTCCAACAATTTCCCCCTTTTTGATAATGGCAAACAAGACGGGGATATGCATAGGGTTTTGATCTTTTTGAAAAAATATTCCTCCCTAATAACAAATTCCCCCTTAATATATGCATAGCCCTTATCTTCCCCCTTTTGACATTAACAAAAATATTTTTAATAACAAAAACCATAAAGATTTTTATTAATTAATTAAGGGAAATAGCAGAGTACATAACGAAAGCACAAAAAAAATGATAAAATAAGGAAGAAGAGAAAATAGAGTTATAGCTCTAGAAATCCAGAGAAAGATCATTAAGAAGTTGTTCTTCATCAATGTCTTCTTCTTCATCTTCATCTTCATCTTCATCACCATCACCATCATCATCATCGTCATCATCGGCTTCTTCTTCCTCTTCTTCCTCATCGGCTTCTTCTACTTCATCGTCCCTGTAACGCCCCAAAATATACCCTAAAATTTCTTGAATTAAATTAAACAAAATTTGTTTTGATTAAAATAAATTATTGTTGGGCTTTGGGCCGAAATAAAATGTGTTTTGATATCTAATATCACAAGCAGGATAAATCTCATAGAGATAAACCCAATATGTTGACTATTTGAGTGGTCTTGATTGGGAACCTGAGTACAGACCCAAATCAAGAATAAATGAAGAAATTATTTATGATGTGAACTTTGAAATGATTTATTGAAATAAATCATTAGAACAAATGATATGAATTAAATGTGCGAAACCTTTTTGAATAAAGATCAACTAAATCAATTTTACTCTGTCAAAGTCAAACATCAAAAAAAAATATGATGTCAGAAAAAGTATAACGAATAAATGTAAAAATTATATCGTTGGATAGAGTTTAATTTCACGATCGCAATGGTGCAAACGGATTTCAATTCGGAGAAAGTTGGACCAAAAAGTGTACCCCGACTGGAACCAAAATTGGTCCCAATCAGAGTACTGCTCTGTCGGCGCCTCCTTGCGCACTAGTAGATCCTAAATCGAAGGAATCATCATCCTGCGTCTTCTTCTTCATCACCACTTTATATAAGAAAACCCAACTCATTCAATTCTTCACCATTTCTCTCAAAACTTCTTCCTATTCTGTTGCTCTAAGTGAGTAGAACGCAGTGGTGCCGTCAATTTGGTGTAAAGTCGCCGGAGCTAAGAGTTATCGTCGCCGGAAGTTTCGCTGGAAAATTTCCAAAACCTTTAATAAGCTTCGAGGTAAGCCCGTTGATATATCTAGTGATTAGAATGTTCATATAGATCGTTTCTACGTTCATAAACGGTCGTTTGGTTGAATTTTGTGTTTGACATGTTTGAAGAACCAAAAATCATAAACTTTGAAATTGTTGTTAAAACTACAAATTAATGGTACCAAAATGATCTATGAACCTTGGAGAACCTTTTTGTATACTTTAAATGAAGTTTGGGAACTTAAAATGACATTTCTGTAAGTTGGCTCGAGGTAGAAGACGATGAACAATCGATTATCAACTTGAAAATCGATTATTCATTGTTCTGCATATTTTTGGAATAAAGCTGAGCAATAATCGACTGTCAGAATGTGATAATCGATTATCAGCCCTCTATGAAGTATGATAATCGATTATCAGAGTGTGATAATCGATTATCAGACCATTCTGAACATCGAACAGTAGACTATCAGAAGTGACAGTAGACTGTTTCCCTACACTATTCAAGAAAATGAAGCCAATAGCTAACAAACGAGTTTCCTATCATATATTAATCAATTATTGTTTAGAAAACATGATTTTTAAACTATGAAATCCTATTTTTGATACCAATTGATTATGATCTTTATAAAGGTGAATTTTCATAATAAAAATGATATTTTTGACAAATAAAATCTTGTGTGATGCATGACGGTAAGCTAGGGTGATAACACCCGAAGCTAGGCCGCTAATTGTTATTGAATATTATGTTGATTGATGATTATGGTAATAATTATTGATTGATGATTAAATTTTGATAGATGTTCTAATTAAAAATGGAAATTATGAACGATTAAATCATAATGAATATATTGATGATTGTGAAGAATGTATGTATTGTTAAGGGTATCTAGAAGACCTCTAAGATATACCCATATTAATGTTGATTTGAAATGTATCTAGAAGAACTCTAAGATATACCTATATAAGTTAGGCTTTGCGGGTATGATGCCCGGTGGCTAGGGTTAAAACGTACGTACGGGATCCAAGAACCAAACTTGAGTACCTACTCGTTTGGGGGTACCACCCACCCAACAGTGAACACTACGCTGTCGGTTTTTGGTTGGCCTTAAGTGAAGGTAAGTTTAAGATTTCCAAAACCCTTTTATCTTAAACTAGGCCTAGCTTAAGGATTATTAGGAGTACTCTGTATACTGGAATATAGTTTAATTAGTTAAACTAGAATTCATTTAAGGGTTGATAAATATTAAAGTGATTGGCCTTAGACTAAGAATAGTTTAAGGATACTGTTGAATGACAAATGATGAAGATACATGTTGGATGATTGAATAATGAATGTTAAAAATTGAATATTGATTATTGAATATCTGAACTGAACATTATGTGCATGATATCAAATGGTTGATTATGAATTGAGATTCAATTTATGTGGATGTTCGACGCATTAGATATGCTTACTCAGCTTTACCGCTGAGTGTGTAGTGTGTTTTATTTGCTACACGCAGGTCAATAGATTGATGTGACGTGATCCCGGAGGCAGACGGAGGCGAGATAGTCGGAATGGATGTGATGGTTTTGAACGAAAGAATATAAATAAATTATGTTTGTGATTATGATTTGTTAAGCTTCCGCAATATTGAAAAACTCTGTACTGTTTATGATATGAAAAATATTATTATGATAAATAAAAGTGTTTGAAAAGTTTTAAATTTTACGATTACCAAGTTAATACTTTAGTCCGAAAGGGGCTGTAGACCTGGACGGATTAGGGTGTTACAATTTGGTATCAGAGCAAATGGTTTTAAAACCGATCTTCGGATCAAAATTTGAATTTAAAAAAAAATGAGTCAATCACATCCACGACTCTCGCGTCCCTCTGCTCCAGGAAAGGTATGAGAAATTAATTGGTAAATATTTACACTGTTAGAATTCTCATTGAATAACAAGTGATTAGTACTCAAATCGTATCGAGCTTAGACTCTAGTAGAACTTTCGTACTCAGTGAAGAGACGCAAGAATGAATGAAAAATATATGACCCTCTGATACGTTATTAACGTACACATCGCATCGCAACGGACAAAACTGATCTGCATCGCAAAATCGTACAAAAGTGAGACGACTCCGAAGAAATGATTTATGTTGATCAACATTTGTGAAGCCGATGTCAAAGATCCTCATGTGGACTCAAGACGATCTAATCGCTGATTCAAACACGAACGTTTAGAATCAATAAACTCTGTTATCCAAAGTATCCCATTCTAATGTCTGACTCATTAAGATGCAAATATGCGATTATATCTTAGGAATCGAAATCGTTCGTTAAGCGACAACTCCTTGCAAAACTTCATTGAAATACCATACAAGGAATTTGACAATTATCCTTAGTATACATTGGCTGATCGAACGACGTTGGTATTAACAACTCTTGACGAAGAATTCTTCAACTTAAGATCGATGATGGAAACCTTATATAGGTGAAAGCAAAGCTGATTTCTAAACTGACGGAGTTCATCTCGAATATATATACAAAAATACCTCAACCATAAGAAGCATGAGGTATATTCTTGTGATACGTGAAAGAAAGATCTGAGCTGGAAAAAAAAAACGTACCGAAGGTATGTCACCTATCTGATATGAACTTCCTAATATCTCATCGTTCCGAGAAATTGAATTCTCTGTCATTCTTGATTCCAGAAAGGACCAATAATCGTGTTTCCATCAATGACTTCCCGACAAAGAATCATCTGATCAAGTGTTTCCTCCTTGGGAGAATACCTGTTTGTTCATACACGAATCAATAAGACTCTATATCAACTACTGTCAGTTGAACAATTTGTTATCCTTTACCTCGTATCACGACTTATTTGATCAGCTTAGAGAATCCATTGTATTCTTTAAGATTGACTTACGGTCAGGATACTAACAAATCTCTGTTAAGAAACTTAAACAAACTGACGATCTAAAATTGTTATCCTTTACTACGAACTAACAACTTGTTCGGTCGGATACAAAGAACCTGCTTGTTAAAAGCTATAGACAACTCAACCTTGTTGAAAGAACTGATGCCTTGTTATGAAGCGATTAATGACCTAATTACTTATCATCGGAAATGTCAATGTAGTCTGATTGAATAAATGAAGTAAAGTGATGTTGACAAGACAAATCAATAAGATAATTGACTCGTTCGGATATCATTTTGACATGAAAGATCGCGAATGTGGTGACGATATGACGTGAAACAGTGACACCAACAATGAAAGACTGAAGAATGAAGAAAATGTAGATCGCGCTGGTCATACAACGTTAAATAATATTTACGGATAATATTATTTCAACACAAAATACGACTTGGATTACATGAAGAAAGTTACATATGCAATTCTAAGTCTAGTCTTCCAGGATTCACAAACTCGTCGTAACTAGCCCCAGGATCCGGGAAAGCTTTAGCAAACTCTAGCTTGTCCAAAAGCTCATCAACAAAGAAAGAAGAGATGAATAGTTTCCTTTGATTCAAAGCCATGAAGTTCTGCCTCACCGCATCATCTAGAAACTTGATTAGGTTATTGAAATAACCGTCAATGTTTAAAAGACCAATGGGTTTACTATGTAAACCTTCGGATGCCCATGAGATCAAAGTGAATAAACCTTCCATAGTGGCAATCCCTCCAGGAAGTACGATGAAGGCTTCCACAATATGATTCATCTCGAAATACTTATAGTAATTGCTGGAAACAGTGTACTCTACACCGTACGTAGGTCCGTAAACCTGTCGTGTTGCTATATACCCTGGTATGAAACCTCTGACTCTACCACCATTATTATAGACTGTTGAAGCTACAGCTCCTTGAAGGCAAAACATTGCCTCCTCCGTAGGTAAGCCTGATCTTTCGCCTTATCAATTCCCTTCCTAAATCTACCGCACTAGCCGTAAACTTTGGATTTCTACCAAGAGAATGACTGCCAAGTAGACCAACAAATCTTATGGTGTAAGGAAGTGTTCGAAAAGTTCCTTCCATAATGTGAGAATGATTCTCTTTCCATAATATATATAGTCTATGAAACCTGACCATTTATGGAGAGGTAATTGTCACTAGCCAAAATACGTACAGTAAAATGTATTCAATATAGCTAGAGACGAGAACGTGCTCGCTAATATTATAGTCTGCTAACGATATGACGTATTGAGACCCTTGAACAGTCAGATTCGCTGTCTTGGAAAAACATTCAAATCCGAGACGAAAAGTCAAAACGGCTATTTCCTAAGACAACGACCTCTTGAGTAACTTCCAAAGAGTGAAATATTGAAGGAAGAAAACTTACGATTAGTAACGATAATTTGCAAACACTATCTTTGTATCTTGTGACTCATATCCTTGAAATACTCAAACTTGTTGTGTTAACTACACCCTTGAAAACATTTCGCTTGATCAATCTTGAAAAGATTGAATTCCATTCTTAATTTGTATCAAAATACTAAAACCATGATTCTTCATTGGAACCAAAACAATACTCGGTGATACCATGATATCGATCTTTGGAAACTATACCCTATTGAATACGTGACTCGATCACAATAGTAAAACTACCCTGACTTAAACATTATGTTAAACCTCTCTTTGTGGACTACAAAATGATCAATACGATTACGCTATCTCTGAAGATTATTATCGATGATATTGTTAGAGTCCTACCAAGGAAATGTATGTGCGACAACCAGAGAAGAAATGGCGTCACAAAAACATGCTGAATCATTCAAGTGAAGATTCCGAACCTATATGCGATGTTGGTATAAGAACTAGTAAAGATTCCTCACTCTATGAATTCATGAATTGAATCACGTACTGAAGATATTATCTTTTTCCTCGAAAGAGATCAGCCATAGTGCTACAATCAAATCTTTCTCTATCATATCTAGATATGTTTTCAAATTAATAGAAGAAGTTTGAATACGACAAATCATACATGAAACGCTACTCGAACGTCATCACTTATGAGTACGAATACTCATTAAAAACGATAAATGAGAGCTACCATGAAGATGAATGAAGAAATGTTTCGACATAAGGTCAATGAATCACGAACTACTGTACAACCGATCGATAGTATTTCTTCCTAAATGATGACAAATCCTATATCCTGAAAATCTTGGACCACTAAAAGACCTTTGACGTAATTATGTGAACGATACGAAGATATCTCAAAGTGAAATATACATTATGATGTGTGAATTGAAGAAAACTCCAAAAACAAAATCTCCCACTACATCTATCGCGAACTTGATAATTTGAAACTGCAAAGGCTACTGAAGGACTTTCAATCAAAAGAAGAAATATCGTTAATAAACGTTGTACAAATTGGGAATTGTGAATAAACGAAGTTATGTGCGAGTATGTCAAATATACAACCGTATACATTCCAAAGAAACCTTAGTTGTTGACACTGAAGGATCACTGAATGTCTTGCTAATCTCTTGAAGAAAGAACGAGTTTCGTAACATCGACAGTTTGAGAATAACTATCCATGTGGATAATGACGCGATTATGATTTAACTGAATGAACATGACGCGATTATGATTAAGTGCGATCACAACAAAATGTTGAACGTTGAGGTTTAGAACAATTTCGAGGACGAAATTCCTTTAAGGGGGGGAGAAATGTAACGCCCCAAAATATACCCTAAAATTTCTTGAATTAAATATTCAATTAAACAAAATTTGTTTTGATTAAAATAAATTATTGTTGGGCTTTGGGCCGAAATAAAATGTGTTTTGATATCTAATATCACAAGCAGGATAAATCTCATAGAGATAAACCCAATATGTTGACTATTTGAGTGGTCTTGATTGGGAACCTGAGTACAGACCCAAATCAAGAATAAATGAAGAAATTATTTATGATGTGAACTTTGAAATGATTTATTGAAATAAATCAT